CCGAGCTGCTTTTCATGGTGGAGACAGGGGTACCAAGGAAGCGACGAGCATGCGAGTTCACTTAAAGTCGAAGGAACCCGGATGTGTCATCCCAAAATATGCCTCTTGGGCATAAAAATTAATTTTGAGTTGAAGGCAATTAAGACAGCATCAAATGTCAGGAAAAAAGCCTTCCTCACCTTTTCTCTTTTTCTGCCTCTAGCAGGATATAGTGTGTGTGCGGGCGCATGTGGGCACGTAGCTGAAGCCTGCACTCAAGGGCTTCGCACTGAGATACATCCCTAGCCTTTTTCTTTCTCTTCTTTTTACTTTGAGGCAACGTCTCCATAAGTCACCGAGTCACCCAGGCTGAGGTCACCCTTGTGATCCTGCCTCAGCTTGGGATCACAGGTGTGGGTTGCCTTGTTGCAGGCAGCCTGAGTTAGATAGAAATATTATAGGCAGTCAGATAGGGTCAGGCCCTCAAAGGAGATGACAAAGACCAGACACCTTACAGCTGTGGGAGATGCTCCTGGTGTGAGCCAGACCTAAAGATCAAACAAATGCTGACCTCCCTAAAGTTGGCATCCAGGATTGCTCATTAGGAAGAATCTCATCTGAAGGCCACCATGCCCGCTTGCTATGTGACTCACTACCCCATTTGCTCCTAGGCCTAATCAATTTTATCTGCGCAATGGTGCTTATAATCCCATTGGTTGACCATAGTTTTGTCCCACCCCACATCCGCCTAAGTGAGACCCCTTTGTCTCTACATCAGCCCCACATGGTTTTGTCCTATTAAAATAACCTAAAAGAGACAGCTTCCTGGGCAATCCGCTTGGGCCCCCCTTCTGTCCCTCTCTAACAGAAGCTTTCCTTTCCAATAAAGTTTTACCCTCAACCTCCGTTCCTAAAATTCATTCTTCGGTTTTAGAGAACACGAACTCATCCAGGCCAGGTTGGGAGTTTCAGGTCCCTATATCAGCATCACCTGCCCAGGATATAAATGCCTTACTGAGATGACTCTAATCCCTTATCTGCCCAGAAATGGCACCAGGGAATCACAGACCAATTTTATCTCATTTATCTCCTTTTACAACTTTACTTCCCACCACTCCCTGTTTTGGGATGCCTGACACTGCCTTTCTTTGTCCTGTAATCTCTCTGCAAAGCTGTTTATTTGTTTTGTTTTTTCTTTCTTAAGACAGGGTTTCAGTATGTAGCTCAAGCTGGCTTCAAACTCACGGTGATCCTCCTGCTTCAGCCTCCTAGGTGTTGGGATTACAGGTGTGTGCCACCACACCTGGGCATATTATTCTTTTTCAAAGTGCTGGACTTCTTGGCTATTTTTTTGCATTGCATTTCTTTCTCCTGGGTAATTCACTGCTACTGCCCTAATATGCTGTCTCTCTCTTGCCAACGTGTC